TCATGCGTGAGCGGTCACTCTGAGGACCACTTCTTAAAGAAGTGGGAAGCCTCTCTGGAACGCTGCTCTCAACCAGACCTGTCGAGGCTTCATGCCTTCCACATGACCAACAAGAAAATGGTGCCACACCAAAAGTTGGTGCCTGTCTTTGGCAGCTTCAAGGCAGATGGGTTCAATGACATCTTGATACCCATGACGAGCAAGACGGATTCCGAGGCTGATTCGAACCGGGACTTCAAGACGCGTATCGACAAGCTCCACTGGCGGGGCGAACTCGGCGAACAAGTCATCAGTCACGACATGCTGCACGGCAATCACCGGCACAGGCTACTCCACCAGGTCAACAATGCCACAAAGGGCGACGAGGTCACGATGTTGCTTCCGACGCCGGGCGACCCGAAGAAGTTCAGTCACGAAAGAGTGCATGTGCAAGAGGCCAATGCGGCACTTCCGTTCGATGTCGGCGTGTCGTCGTACCCGTCGTGCGAGGATGCCGGGTGCGCGGCGGCACGGCTGGAGTTTGGCGAGAAGGGTGAGGAGGGCGAGAGCGGAGAGCCGCTGAAGTATCGATATGTGCTGCTCCTCGACGACGACAGCTCGCCGCCAAAGCGGCTCATGCAGACGCTGCGATCAGGAAGCGTGCCGGTGCTTTCATCGATATTCCGGACGTGGTGTACAGAGCGGCTACTGCCCTGGGTGCACTTTGTGCCGGTGGACATTCGGTTCCAGGCGCTACACAGCACACTGGCCTACTTTACGGGTCTGGAGGGCCGTGTACCGGTCAATGGACGAGAAATTAAGTTTGAAGGTCGAGTCAGTGACGCGAAATGGATCGCAACGGCAGGACGACAGTGGGCGGACAAGGCACTGAGACGGGAAGACATGGAGGTGTACCTGTTTCGGTTGTTATTGGAGTGGGGGAGAGTTGTCGACGACGGACGCGATAGCCTTGGCTTCAAGATTGAGTCTTAATCCGCGCTTGGCTAAGGCGTCCAGGTACAAGGAACAGCTAGAGTAATGATGGAGAAATGATGTTTGCCCATTGATTACGTGAGGTCGGATATAGGTCACAATGGGTTGAAATGGATAAAGAAGCTTGGGAGCTTGGGGAGCTGAGACGTCGCTAGGCAGCTCTGGGTGGGGGGGGGGAGGCAGGAGGGAGGGGGCCGTCGGTTCTCTGGGTTGGGTACGTACCGGGGGCAACTACCTTATGTAGTTGATGTTTCAGGTGCTGCGATGACACTGGATGTGCTTCACTAGGCTGAAGTCGGTAGCTGCTGCCCTCAAGCCCCTCGGGAGACCGTTGCCCCTCCCTCACTCCCTCACCCCTGCCTCCCAAAGCCAAAGCTTGGGTACTTCCTCCCAGCGCCGGTTGCCCCTCCTTGCTCCTCAGGAACAACCCCGCCATCCGCCTCACTCCACCTCACCTCACCTCACCTCACATCGACCTTTTGGTGTTCCCACTCCCGCTTCCCATCTCCGTCCACCCTTCACTACCCACTACACCATCCATCCACTTCCGCTTCATCACCCAATCCTTGTCCTACCTCGTTCCAGGGTAGCCTTTCAGTCCTGATCGCTTCGCGACCCTCCCTCTTTACCCCCCCCCCCCCCCCGGTCTGGCCCGTGCCGTTCCTTGATACTAACTTCACGAACGAACTCACCCGCCCACCCCTCCTCATTAGCACAGCTCTTTTAGCCTCTGCTTCTTGCTCATTGCTTTTGCTTGTCCTCGTATTTCCTGTCACTGCAACAGCGTACCATCTTCTTCCTTTTCCGCCAGTCATCAACAAGCCTGCAGCAATGGTTGACCGCCCCAACAAGCCCACGGCTCTGGCCACCACTCCCGGCCTTCCGCCCCAGGCCCAAGTCACCACGTCCGACGACAACTCGCGCGTTGATGCCGTCCTCCCCACCGGCGAATCCATCTCCGTTCTGCTCTACGGAGCCACGGTGCTGAGCTGGAAAGACGCTGCTGGCAACGACCGCCTGTGGCTGTCCGAGGCCGCCGCTCTCGACGGTTCCAAGCCCGTCCGCGGTGGTATCCCCCTTGTCTTTCCCGTCTTCGGCCAGGCCCCCGACCACGAGGCCACCAAGAACCTGCCACAGCACGGCTTTGCTCGCTCCTCGCGCTGGGAGTTCCTCGGCAAGTCATCCGAGGAGAGCGGCACCAACTACAGCGTCAAGCTAGACTTTGGCCTGTCCTCTTCGAGTCTTGACGAGAAGACCAAGGCTGCATGGGGATACAGCTTCGGTGCCATCTACAGCGTGACTCTGGACCGCGACGCACTGTCAACATCGCTCGTCATCACCAACGAAGACGACAAACCATTCGAGCTCCAAGTCCTTCTGCACACCTACCTGCGCGTTCCCGTAAGCTCGCTCCCCCGCTGCTCCACATGACACCCCACGACCGTCATCACTCACTAACAACAACTCTGCACAGGATGTCACTGCCGTCCGCCTCTCCAGCCTTGATGGCGCCTCATACCTCGACAAGACCGAATCCCTTGCCACAAAGACTCAGTCGGGCGACCTCGCCCTCACTGGCGAAACAGACCGCATCTACACTCCTCTTGGCGGGCCCAAGGTCCCCATTGTGGTTTCCGATAACGCGTCTGGCCGCAAGCTCTACAGCTTGACCCGCGACAACCTGGACGATGTCGTTGTCTGGAACCCCTGGGAAGCCAAGGCCAAGTCCATGCCCGACTTTTCTCCCGATGATGGTTGGCGTAACATGGTCTGTGTGGAAGCCGGTGCCGTCAAGGGCTGGCAGAAGCTTGAAGCCGGTGACGCCTTTGAGGCTGCGCAGGTCATTGCGGTGGGAGACTTGTGAATCGCGGGAAAGCTGTAGGGCCGAGGGAAGCTGGAGAAACCGAGGGAGTCAGTCAGCACGGTGACTATGATGACTGGAGGGTGGAGACTGCAAGCAGATCGGTAGCAAGCGTGTCTCCTTTGTCATGCCTGGCGTCGAGGTGGGAGGATCCTAGAACTGCACAAACCCAAACGACGATGTTTCAACCCCCTTGCTGGCACACTTGTCATCACCTGAAGGGTTTTTGTGAGGCATTGGATGTGATCATGACTTTCTTCTGTCTCGTCCTCGCTTCTCTCCATATCCTGATGCCGCGCAGGCCTGCTCACCATCTACACAACTTGGTATCTAAGGTATACAATGCTGCCCTTGGAGTGATTCTTAGGTATGGGCGGCGAACCATCCGCCCCAATCTGCCCTTGATATGTATGCCCCCCTCCCGTTTCGTCACCATGTACAATTATGAAGTGTTTTCTCTCATCTCGAGCGAACACGTGAAAGAAAACAAAAAGAAGAGAACGGAGGAAAAAAAAAGCAACCTCTGCTGAACCCTCGCCAGAGCTCAGATGCCGCCGCCGCCGCCGCCGTCGCCTGTACGCCGAAAAGCAAAATGCGCAGTGTCTCCCATGTTTTCCTGTTCATGGTCTTTGCGTGATGTGACTGTTGTTGGTGGTATGTTTTTGGGGGTTTGATCCATCTCCTCGTAGTGTGATGAGGACCGAAATGCCCAAAAGAAGAAGGTACAGAGCCTATTATGCCCTTCCCCTCTTCTCGGCGGCAAAGAGTTCTCTCTTGATATCCATGAGGACATCTTCCATCTTGTAGACCTCGTCTCGCGAGAGCGTGGCCGACTTGAGCTGCGCCAGGACGCCGGACAGCGAGTCGAGCATGGTGGGCTTCTGACTCTCGTCCTCGTCCTGCTCCTCGTTCTCCTCGACGGTCGGTATAGCGACGGACTGCGAGGCGCGAGGCGTGACGTCGTGGCTGAGGTCCATCGAAGCCTCCCGCGACACCGACGTCGAAGAGAGAGCAACGGCCTCCTCGACGGCGAGCGACTGGCTGCGGCTGGCGGCAATCTGTTCGGCCGCGAGCTGCGACTCGAGCTCCGTGTCCGTGTCCTTCTCGTCGCTGGAGATCCTGCGGCTGCGGCGTCGGGGCGTGACCGAGGCCTTGCGGGCGCGCGTCTCCTTGGCAGGCGTCGAGGGGTGTCCCGGCGAGGACGGGTCTTGCGCGTCGCCGGCGTGGCTGTCGGAGCAGAACGACGAGGCCGCCGAGCGATCCGTGAGGACCGACGTCTGACGGCTGCGGCGGCCCTCCTGGCTCGGCTTTGCCTTCTTGTTGGTCGACTCCTCCCTCGCGGCCGCGGACCTCTTGCGCTTCTTCTTCTTGCTGCTGGTTTCACTCGCCGAGGGCGGCGCGGACATTTCCACGACGCTCTGCGAACGGCCTGGCGAGCGGGACTTGGACTTTGATTTGCGGCGGGGCTTTTCCTGCGCCTCGTCTTCCTCGTCTTCATCATCCTCGGGCGCGACGACCGTGATGCAATCCAAGACCTCCTTAACGTCCTCGTGCTTGGACGGGGACTCGGCCGGGTGACGGTTGATGGGCAGCTTGCAGCGGCGCGAGTCCAGCTCAACGACGAGTCGCAGCATGCTGTTCTCGTCGCCGTCGCTCATAACGAAGGAGCCGTCCTTTTCCGCATCAGCTTGGCGCTCGAGCGCCTTCTTCGCCGAGCGGGTCAGGGGTTGCTGGGGACTCGTCAACGCATCGACAAAGATGTCAGGCTCATCGGATTTGGCATCGTCGACGTCCTCTCGGGCTCGGGGCGTCGACGGCTCGTCGTCATCATCCTCGGCCTCCTCGTCGTCCATGACCACGACTTCCTTCCTGTGTGTTGGCAGTCTTGTCTCTGAAGCGACACTAGATGGAACGACTTCCATCTGGAAGGAATCGTCAATGACCATTTCTGAGCCGTGCGTGTCGAGACTTGATGGGTTGTGGTTTTCGTCGCCGGTAATATCGAGGACAGGAATCTCGTTGGCTGCGGTGTGCTCCTTGCTGACGACTGGAGATCCGTTCACAGGTGACGAGCTCATCGGCCAATCTTGATCGACCTCGCCGAGGCTGGAGCGAGTCTTGAGATGCGGCAACAGGGGGAATGGGCGAGGCTCTGGTGGCGATGAAGGAGGGTCCGTCATGTCCTGGTCGTCGACGATCATGGCCATCGCCTGACCACGCCGAGGAGTGGGGGTGGAGATGACATATTCCTCCTCCTCTGCGCGCCCCTCAGGCGTGACATCTCGTTGTCTTTGCTTACGTCCCTCGGCTGCAGCCGCCTTGGACGATAACTGCTGCGCCGCCGCCTCGTGCTTCAGAGGACTGCTCCTGAGGCCGGGGAAGATGGCGGCAGCATCCTTCTGCCTCTCCCGGACCTCCTGCTGTCGTTCCGTCAAAACCTGGGATTCCTTGGCGCCAGCGAGTGGCGAGGACTCGACAGGCGTGAAGTGAAGCTGCGAGTCGTCATGCCTCAGTCGGGACTTCGGCGTGCTTCGGGCACTAGTTCGTGTCCTTTTCGGGGTATTGCTTGATGACTGTTTTGCCGCCAAGTTCAACCTAGCTGGACTGGAAGACGCAAGTTGGCGAGACTTTGATGATGAACTCAGAACGCCCCGACGAGACGATCGCGAAGACGATGGAATCGCTGCCGGCACGTCGACTTGGGAGTCGACAAAAGATCGGTTGTGGGATTCGGAGGGTACGCTGGGAATTTGAAGGCCGGGAAGAGCCAGGTCGAGGACTGACTGTGAGGAGAGGAGCACAGCCTTGAGCCTTTCCGGGTATTGTACATCACCAGCAGCCTCGAAAACGCGGTTCCACGTTTCAGCGGCAGTGTTCACGATTTGGCGGTGTTTGCTCTCGAAGCCAGCGCAGAGCAGCATCTCAAAAGATTCAAGTTGAGGTTGTTCGCCGGAGAGTATCGTGCCGCAGACCGTAGTCCAAAGTTTCTTGACCTGTTTCTTTGTCAGTTCTCACTCTGTGTCTCATGAGCTACGTCCACTTACAGCCTCGGCTTGAGCAACATCACGACGGCTGCTCAAAATACCCTGCTGGTCCTGAATCCAGACCGACATACCGCTCTCCAGGTTGGTGATTGTTCGGAGCACAAGGGCTGGGTTGCAACGGAGTAAAAAGTCGGAAATTTCCCCAAAGAAAGGCGTGGCGACCTCAGCGAGACCTTCCGTGCTGCCGAGGGCATAAAAGTGCAGCAAAAGATGGTCAACGAGCTGATAAAGATGGTCGAAAGGGTCGAACGATGGGCCTCTTGATCCGGTCACAGCCGTACCCCATACGCGGCGCCGTGCTGCCTCTAGAGCATGTCGATCTTGAGGATGGTTTGCTGAAGAGAGTAGCTCGGTCGCAACACGGAAGGCATTGGGTGGCAAAGCCACAGACGAATCAGCGGGAAGAGTTTCCCTGATCATCTTGGCTAAAGGCTCAATCACACCAATGGCCTTGCCAGGTTCGCCAACCTCTTCAACCGCACGGTTAGCTAGGGCTGTATACAACTCGTTCCAGTAATTGAGTGGCAGATTAGGAGTCTCTTTCCACCCCCTCTCAAGCATCCTGGCAATGGATCGGTACTCGTGTCCAAGAATGGTATCGCCGCTCGAGCTGGTGGTCTGAATGCTGCTTTGTGATATACTCATGGCGGCGATCATGCTCTCCGACGCGAATACCCAAGGTCCGTAAGGGTAGAAAGATGTGGTAGGAGACCAGATGGGGACAGCCTGCAGCATCTCTGGAGGCGAGCTCAGACCGAGCCTTGGCCGACTTGGTGGTCGAAAAAGAAAGGGCGAGAAAACAGCGCGCAGAAATTGAAGGTAGGTTTCGTCGTCAGGGACGCCTGGTGGCAGTCTTGAGAACAGTCCGAAAAGATGCTGTAGTGGTGAACGCACATCACCGAGGTTCTTCCCAGGCCGATGAGATGGGGTGGCAACGGGAACAAAGCTGCTCAGTCGTCCCAGGGAGATCATCTTTTCGGTAAAGGGTAGTAGGCCAAGGGATTCGACTGCCGTCAGGACCATTTCCTGCACAGCACGAACGAATTGCCGTGCTGTTTCAGCTGTGTCTCCTTCTGTTGAAATGCCAGTCTGCCAGTGCTTCAGAAGCAGCCCGAACATCTCAGAGACGAACGTAGCGGTGTCGGTCGACACCTTGATCTCTTTGGATGCCGCAAAGGCGACAGAGCCCACCAGTGCTCGCCAGAGCTTGTAGGTCGAGCTTGTTCGATCTGCTAGTTGACAAAAGTGCTTGTCCATTATCGGGCTAATGACCTTGAAGACTCGTGGAGCGTTGCGTCGGACCCATTTGGAATCAATCACGGGCAGCTCTTCGGGCTTCGCTATCGGACTGTCCTTGATACGGTCATCCCGCCAGATACGTAAGGTGGAGGAGTCGAGCAGACCAATCAAGATGGCTGTTGCGCGTTGAAGATGGAGGTCCAGCGTGTCAGGGATATTTGCCGATGGAACAAGGGCATCTGTGAGAGGTTGGACGCTTACGTCCCAGTAGGCGTCAAGGTGGGCTGGGTTTGTATTGGGTTTGAAAGCGTAGTAGTAGAGATTGCACAAACCACCCATGACAAGCTCACGCTTCACCGGAGAGACAGTTGATTTGCTCAGCTGGCTGGCGAGCGGCATGAAGAGAGTCGGTAGGACCTTGTGGAAAGTCGGCTCGTCGAGGTGCGCCGTGTAGACATAGCGATTCCAGGCGTAATTGGCCTCGCGGTTCGACTCGGCGACGTTGAAGCACTTCTGGATAATCATTAGGGAGGGGTTGAAGTAACGCCACTTGTTGAGGGGGTATTGAAGAAGAAGGATAATGACACTCCATATCTTGGGGACAGCGGCCTTGTCCTGGCTGTCACCCTTGATCATTTCTTGAAGCTGTGCGTGGTACCACTCGATGTAGGTCATCTCCTCGATAGACATTTCAAGGAGGTCCATAAACTTGCGCTGGAGAAGCTTTTCTCTCCCAAACACAAAGGATGCTTCGAATCCGAGTTTGATAGCCGAGTTTCTGACGTCTTTCACGCTGCTCAACATGTCTGTCAAGACATCGTTGAGCCACTCGGTATGCACGGCCATGTACGCTTTGGTCTGTATCATGAGGCGAGCGTAGATCCTGAGGCGGGAAACAACGACCATCTTGCCCCTTGAAGGGCCATCCATGGCGTGTAGCGCGCTCACCAGCCTCTTGATGCGGTCGGACGTCATGACCCTCAGGGGGAAATCCTGCTTTGCCATGACGTGCATCAGGCGCCGTGCCAGATCCTTGGGTAACGCCGGGTCTTCGAATGATCGAATGCAATGGTCAACAATGAAAATGCCAAAGTCGCTGGGTATCGTCGAAGCAATCGCTGGGAAGAAGAGAAAAGTGTCGAGAAGGGTGAGGGCCTTGCTGATAAGAGGCGAATCAGAAGTGCCAGCAGGCGTTTTGGCGACAATGTCACGCTGAATAAACTGCACAAAGAGACCCATCTTGCTTTGCAGGGCCACTCTGTCGGGCAAGTTGTTGGAAGCTTGCAGAGCGCGAACGAGCATCATGTAGGCATCGGTCTTGGCGTCTCGGTCGGTTCCGGCAAGCTGCCTCACGGTTGATTCCAACATGTCGGACATATTCGCAGGACCCAGGAGTTCGCTATCGTCTGCCATCAAGGACAGTTCGTGGGGGCTGGGAGAAGCGGTTATCTTGAGGATGCCCTTGGCCGGTCTCGGTTGACTGGCCGACGGCGGCGAGGATCTTCGGCCTTTCTTGTCGAGTGTGTTTCGAGGCGCCTCCAAAAGTGCAGTGAAGCCTACCCGCTTCCTTGATCGACTTGTGTTTGGATTAGTGTTGTTGGTAGAAGGATCGGGTGTGCTGAGGCCCGGCGGCGTGTTGAGCTCCGACCTAGAGTCTGCAGACGCCGCACGCACGAGGAGCGGCTTGGCGGCGTTCGTGTCAGCACCGAGGCGTGCTTCTCGCGGTGGTGTTGGTGGACGAGGTTCGTCTAACTGCAGCAGCCTGGTAGAAGCTTCGACAGACCCCATGGTTGCGAAAGAATGCGGGAAGAGGGGGGGTGTCGGGCTGTCAATCTGTCTAGCAGGCTAGAGAGTGTGGTGAGGATGCCGTCAGGAGCATGTGTGTCGAAGGGAGGGTGTGGAGGAGAGACTCCGCCAGCAGAGAGGATCCGAGAAATCCAAGTATGCTGTTCGAAAATCAAAGGGAACCTCAGAGGACCAATGTAGGGAGGTTTCGAGGTCCAATCGAGTGTGACGATGCTTGGAGGTGCGGAGGTCGACTCAGGATGGAAAACCTGGGTGCCTGGGTAACGGGAAAGCTGGATGGGGCATGGGCAATTTGGCAAGGGTGCATTAAGACACGGGCGCGCTCACGTTCACGACGCGCGCGAGGGTCGCGCGAAACTAAGAAGCACTTTAACGAATTGTGGGGTCCGCGTCTCCCTACTGTCATGCTCCATGTGCCTCGTGAATCCCTGTCTGCTTCTGTCTTGGCCGCCCCGTGGCGAGTGAGTGCTGCGGGGTGCTGTGCCACGATCTCCCCCACCGCCCAGTCATTAACAAGCCACGCATCTCCTTCCATCGGCTGCCGAGACGTCCTCATTGGAGAAGTCCATCACCCTGCACAAAAGGTGGTACCTTGTTACAGGGTGGCCAAGCTCATCCAAATACCAGAAGCTCTCACGGACGAGATGGCCTCTCAACTAGCAGTGCCTGGCCCAGGTACGTCCTTGTCCTGTGCCGACGCTCACCTGGGCGCAGTCCGCCTTGACAATGACTGATTTGGATTCGTCAGCCAAGCTTGAAGCCGTCACGAAGCTCATGAGCAAACTTGATGCGAATCTCGAAACACAAACCCTGGCAGTCAATGGTCAGTGAATTTTTCAGCTTCCGAGACTCTAAGAGCTATCCCTGACGGCGGTAGAGCTCGTGGCTTACCTAGAACAACTCAAGCTGCTTGGCCGAGATCCGAGGAGTGCTGACCCCATCTTTGCGCCGAATGTAAGCAAGATACCCCAGTATCGCTGGGTTCGAGTGTCAAGCTGACTCGCGAGAACGCAGGGCATCAAAACCTTGGCCAGATATGCCTTTGAGAGCCCGCAGAGAGCGACTGCCCGCGGTGCGCTGAAGGTATTGGCCAATTCGATGCTGCTCGTGCCCAACACCAGGCGTGAGTTTCTGACCCTTGGCCACGAAGGTACAGCTTGTAAGCAGCTCAAGGAAGAGGGGCCAAAGAGCTGGGAAGACGCTTTCCTGCTGTCAAGGGTCCTGCTCCTGTCGACCTACGCGCCAAACATTGATCTACCTACTCTGATCAACGATCATGACCTTGCAGGTGCCATCATCTCCAACCTCGCCCGTCATGCGGAGCATATGCGGGAGAACCCCAGCGGCCCCGTCATTCCAATGGAGGACATGGCTGTCAACGAGACTCTTCGCCTGCTCTTCAATGTCACTCACTTCGCCCCTTTGCGAAAACCTCTCTTCACGCCTGCCATCCCACTGATCGTTACGCTGCTCTGGAAGCAGGACATTAACCCCAGTAAACCGCTCGACCCGCCTTTCAGCTCCCTCATCAACGCACTGCTCAATCTGGATTTTGAAGACCCAGAGGTGCAGTCATCATTGTGCCCCCAGTCGCCCGAGGCCTCGGACCAGCCGAGCCGCGTCGCTGCCAGACTGGTCACCCTGCTCGATCTTTCTCTTAAGCCAGGCATCTACGCCGAAGGAGAGCTCGACCAGCTTCTGTCGCCTCTGGTCGGGGTTCTGGCCTATGTCGAAGCTGCCGCGACTGAGGAGGTCAAGCACTATCTCCGCGCCACCCTGCTGCCAACAGAAAAAGACCGTGAAGAGGTTCTGGGCAAAGGCACGTCGCTGGGCTCCAGGGTTCTGAAGTTGTCCAACAATCCCATGACGCCAAAGCTCGGAGATGTCGCCTCGCATCTCTTGTACAGTTTGTCGGATAAGGATGCGTCCAAGTTCGTGGCGAACGTTGGCTTTGGCTACGCCTCGGGCTTCCTGGCAAAGAACAACATCCCTACGCCCGGCAACATGGCGGAGACCTCTGACGAACTAGCTGCTAGGCCGTTCAATCCGGTGACAGGCCAGTTCCTCGACTCGGAGAGAGTTGGGGAACTACCCGAGATGACAGAGGACGAGAAGCTCAGAGAGGCAGAGAGGCTTTATGATCTTTTTGAACGGTAGGCTTTCAAACATGCCAGTGAAGTGTAATGCGCTAATCTTTCTCTGGTACAGGCTTAAGCGTACCGGAATTATTGATGTCCAGAACCCCGTTGAAGAGGCGATACGATCTGGGCGGTTCCAGGAAATGGACGAGAATCGTGTTACAGAGGTGGACTCTGACTGAGCATTCCTTGTTCGGACAAGACTGTCTTCGCCACGTAAGTGGTTAAGTTGCAGTAATCGCATAGGTATTCTATCGGCCGTCGCCATATTTTAGACAGCTGCTGTGTTAATGGACAAGTTGGCCAGACTACGTGCTCCAATGACTTCAGTACGGCATCCCTCATTGACTACCGAGTATTGTTCCATCGCAAACATTGTGCAGTACCAGCAGCAGGGTCCTGTGCCCCGCACTCAGAGAGCTAGCATCAGCACACCTGGGATAGAACCATAAGGAAGGGGCCTTGAAAGACGGCCAGAAGTTTCACGATGTTTTCATGTAGCTTTGTGGGCTCGGATTACGGGCTTGCCATGCACAGCATGCGTTTTTGAACCTGAAAGTTCAAATTTCTGCCTTGTCAGTTCTCACTACTTCATGGCTGTCACGCATTGCCCGTCGTCTACTTCGCACCTTTTTTGTCCCTCGCGTTTCTGTTGTACACTTCTTGGCTGGGTCTTTGTGGCCGGGACTGACCCGTGTGTAGGTACCTAGGGTAGCTCTTGCCTTGAGCTGTCAGTTTCATTACGAGCGCTCTCACATTGATAATGCATTATTCGCAAAGGTTTTCAGTTCTCAAGCCGCCGCACGTATTCCGCATCCTTCCATTTGACAATGAAGAGCCCGTCACATGGTGTCCGAGAATATTCCCAACAATCGTCCCAACGTTTCAGCCCATCCTTCTTCATTGAGACCTCGTTCCTTCCATCTCGATCGTTTTCCTTCCCACAACCCTAAAGTTATACGCTGCTGCGAGAAGGACGCCGGTCCACAACCACATATTCTCTTCATACCTTAAGTAAGAGCCTGACCGGCCAACCTTCATCTCGGGAAAGAACTCCTCAGACCACGATCAGAAAGCACTCAAGAAGCGCAAGACCACCAGAACACCAACAACACCGTTCACTGCCGACTTAACGTCGATATGCCGGTCGGTAGTCGGTATCACTACTGCGAGCGGTATGGCGGCGACCCGCTATCTGACGTTGACGATGTTTCGATGGCTGATGCGCAGAGCGAGCTTTCCGACGATGAGCCTGAACCGCTCATTGTCAGCGACATTGCTACCCCGACCCCGAAGACGGGCCCTGTCCATCCTGTCAAGCGTGGTGCTGGTCGACCTTTGAAGAAGTCGAAATTGCCCACCTCGACAAAGGCAGACACCAAGAAAGCATCAGCAAGAAACGGTACGGAGACTGGTCTTCAGGACGGCAAAAGTGATGCTTCCATCTCCGGTGAGGATGATCAAGATTGTGCTTCGGGTAAGCGCCACATATCACCCGCCCTCTTCCTCCACACCTTTTCAAGCCAATGGCGAGATGTGAGTGATTGTTCACTGACAGGAACGCAGATGGCGATGATCTTGAGCCAGAGGACGGAGAACCTCTTGTTTCCGAGTTTCAGAGCTCGAGGCGCTTGTTTCCTTCCCGGCCTATTGGTAGACATGCCTCGAGCGGCGTCGACAACGGCAAGGGTGTTCCTAACGAGTTGGAAGAACTTAGTAGTACTGACGGTGAGGGCCAACCTGTGTCGCCTACTCCCGCCAAGCGAGGCCCAGGCCGCCCTCCCAAGAAAGACCACTCTTCAAGCCTGATGGCAAGGCCCATCGCCGAGAAGAAACGTGCGAGCAGCTCAGCTGGTAGGTTTCGAGTCAACTGACCTTTCACGATCCCGCACAATGCTCACGCGATTTTCAAGATTCTTCGAAGCCCCGCCGCTCGTCCCGGCTCCATCCCTCTGTCAGTGGCAGTGGCCCTGTGACCAAGGCAAAGCCTGCTAAGGGGGCTAAAGGATCTTCGCCGATGAGATTCACTCAGACTACTCCCCAAAAGTCTACCGGGAACAAACTGTCTACACCTCAATCAACCGCTTCGAAGGTGCACAAGCGCCGAGGACGACCCTCGAAGGCCAAGACGTCCATGAAACGCGAACAGGACGCCGAGCAGGAATGGGAGGTTGAGTCCATCGAGGACTCTCTCATTGACCGCAAAGGAGGCGTTCACTACTATCAAGTCAAGTGGAAGGGCTTTCCAGCGAGTCAGAATACTTGGGAGCCCCGCGCCAGTCTATCCAAGTGTAAGGACATGATCACCGCTTTTCAACAGCGTAGCAAGAAGACGCAGAAGTCCAAAAGATAGAGAATGAACAGTACACGGTTCAGAATCAGCCGCCGGCCGAACAGTGTTGGGGAAAGGGCATTCGCTCATGGGCAGATGTTTTCTTGGCACGGGCTCGGTGGCAGGGACGTTGTTGAGTTTGAGAGATCCGGCTTTTCGATCGTTTTGGGGCAACCGTAAATTGCTTTTATGGGAATGCTCGGTCGGCGTCTTAGTAACGCCTCCAGATAGATGCTCGCAGTGGCTTCAAGAGTAGAGAGGTCGCCACAGGAGTCTTGGTAGATGGGCGTGCTCCAGGGAGCAATTAAATATCATTAAACTGGGAGTGAATTGTCGATATATGCTGTGATTCACAAGACACAGGGTCTCGACGTTAGTGATGGGAATAAGACGGGCTTGATCAGTCCCCTACAAGTCTTGTACTCACGACCCCTGCCCCTCCCTGCCCTCTCTAAAAAACGGCCGATTGGCCCAAGCTCTTCCTCCGACGAACGCAGTTCTTACTTTCAACGTGTCGCGACTGAGTTTCCAGAACCCTTTCCCCTGTCAAGCCACAGCTTCACTATCCAACAGCCCAGCGCGCGCAACGCTATTCCCTTACTCTGCTTCTCCTCCCCTCCTGACGCTTCCCCCACACACTCCAGCTCTCCAGCAGAATCTTCGCCAACATGGACGCCCTTCAGGAAACTCTTCGCCCGCTCCTCCAACCCATCACACACAACCTTCCGGGCCCCATCAATGACCTCGCCCTCTCCCTCCTCGGCGAGCAGTGCCACACCTCCCTCGTCCGCGACATTACCCTCACCGATGACGTCTGCCTCAAACTCGCCGTGTCCAAGGCCCTCGGCCTCGCCATTGTCGCCGCCGCCTCCATCGTCAAGGTGCCGCAGATCCTGAAGCTCGTCTCCTCCAAGTCCCCCGCCGGCGTCTCCGTCCTCTCCTACGCCCTCGAGACGGCCGCCTACGTCGTCTCGCTGGCCTACAACTACCGCAACGGCTTCCCCTTCAGCACGTACGGCGAGACGGCCCTCATCGCCGCCCAGAACGTCGTCATCACCGTCCTCGTTCTCAACTACGCCGGCCGCGCGCCTCTCGCCGCCCTCTTCGTCAGCGCCCTGGCCGTCGCCTTTGGCAGCCTCTTCACGGACCAGTTCGTGGGCATGGAGCGCCTCTCGGTCCTCCAGGCCGGCGCCGGCGTCGTCGGCGTCGCGAGCAAGATCCCCCAGATCCTCGCCATCTGGCAGGAGGGCGGCACCGGCCAGCTGAGCGCCTTCACTGTATGTTCACGATGCTCAATCCCTTTCGTCTCACCCCTCCTGATTCCCCACATGTGTGTCTCCGTGCTGACCATTTTGCGCGCGCAGGTCTTCAACTACCTCGTCGGCTCTCTGACTCGCATCTTCACCACCCTCCAGGAGGTCGACGACAAGCTCATCCTCTACGGCTTCATCGCCGGCTTCGCCCTCAACGCCGTCCTCGCGACCCAGATGGTCTACTACTGGAACGCCCCTTCGGCCAAGGCCAAGGGCAAGCGCAAGGCCGAGCCCGTCTCGTACGCTGCCGCCGCCACGTCCTCGCCTGCGGGCTCCGCGAGCGCGACGCCCACGAAGAAGGGACCCTCGACCCGCCGACGGGGCTGAAGGGACAGATCCTGCAGCGAGCTGAGTGGCTGGTCAGCAGGGCGTATGTCGTTTGGTAAACGGAGTTTTTAATAATTTAATTCAATGAAGCTACCGCTTTCTGCCCTGACACGCTCGTCTCTCTTGTGTGCTTTCTGTCTTGCTCTCTTTGTTTCGTCTACCTGCAGTGAGGCTCTGTCGTCTGGCCTCTATTCTAACAAGTGCGCAGACGCAGCATCGATAATAGCGTGGCAGCAAAGGGGACAACGCTGCTGCAGAACATGAACTCTGCATGTTCAGATACTCTCCCGGAGCTGACTTTTCCTGACTTAAGCTTCTTTCCACAACCGTCGCCAACGAATCCTGCTCTCGACTTCAAAGCAGTAACAATTTCCAGCCCTCCCTTTTCCATTTGGCAGCCCGATGAGGCCAAGTGCTTCCTCTCAAGGAAGCCAAATACAGTTGCGTACGATATCCATCCAAGTCTAGACGAAGACTGGGAAGAAAAGAGAGAAATAACCACAGCAAAGCATTAAAAAGAATAAAAAGCACAAAAAGAAAACCACAAACCAGCGATTCCCACATGATTCAACGCCCCCGTATTTAGGAGGCATGGTGTGCGCTGCCACCTCATGCTAGTTCCGGGGAAGGAGCATCGCCAGCAGAATCCCCAGCGCCACGTACAAGACGCTCTCGACAAAGAGCTGCAGGCGGATCTAGCCCCTGTGCCGCTCCGTGAGACCGTACGCCTCCCCCTTTGTGCACCACGACACGGCCGAGTCCATCTTGCCGTACAGCACGGCCAGGCCCCAGAACGGCAGGGGCACGTCGATGATGACCGTCAGCAGGAAGAAGAACGTTTGCCGCTTCTGGGCCTCGGGCGAGAGGGGCAGCGACCTGTGGCGCCGGTAGCTGCTCTCGCTGCCTGCCAGACGGCCCAGCTCTGGATCGGTCCCCTCCTGGTACCGACGGGTCATGCTGCGCGTCGTGAGATGAGGCCGCGGGCGCAGGCCGCCGGTTAGGTGTGCGCTGCGACGGGAGAGGCGATCTGCAGCTGGATTTCCAGGCCTGCGCTCGTATGCGCTGCCTGAAATCATGCCAGAGACCATGGTTGGGTTCTGGCGCAAGGGGTTGCCATAGTCTGGAAAGCTGTTAATAGGGAAGGCACGACAACGACTGCGAGGACTCAACGTACAGGAAGAGCGTGCTGTCTCACCGCCGTGCAGACTTGGGCTCGGCAGGTCAGTGCTGTAGAGAGACGAGGTCCTCGCATAGGTGCGGGGAGGAGGCGTCAGGAGAAGCGTGCGCTGCGAGCCGCGAGCCACCATGGGCTGGTACCTGACGGACCTGCCAGACGTGGTCTGGTCCTCGAGGCCGCTCGCACGGCGGTATCCTTGGATGCGTTGCGCATCCTGCAGGGCCACCAGAGGGAAATGGAGGTGCTCGTAGTTGCTCAGCGGCCGAGCTGCGAACAGTGGAGCCTGCGAGTTGTCGTCAGCCGCCGTCTGAGTTGACGACGTCACGGGGCGGGGCTGCCCGCGGCGAAAGGGGTTGCGTGAAGTTTGACGTTTCTCCGTTGGCAGCGGCTGCATCTCAAGCCCTTGTTGGTCATCAAAGCGCTCGTACTTTGACTGTCGCCCGGTGCTGGAGAGTTTGCTCAAAGCTCCCTGGACACCACCGCGAGGGTTGAATGGGAAGAGTCCGGATTGGCAAGAGTCTGCGTGTTTGGTTAGCCGGGGAAAGGACTAAAATAGCAGACAAGGGTGTTAAATTACCCTGACGTGTGACAGAGACGGGCTTTTTACCATCACGCTGTGTTGGTGGCCCTGTGCGGGATGCCTGAGATGGTACCCCTGCGCTTGGCAGCTTGTCCCACCAAGGCATGAGGTTGTGGTTAATGGCTCTGGGGTCATGTATGGGAATACTTTCAGGCCTGTTGGCAATAAGGACATGATCTGAGTAGTTGGCGACGCTACTTCCAGTGAGCACCCTGCCCATAGAGACAGCAGGGGTGCGCAGGGGGTCGTCTTGTTGCTCCTCTGAGACTGTGACCCAATCTTGGGCGTGACCTGCTACGCTTGAGGTAGCAGGCATCGCAGTCCATGGTGAATCGTTGCCGCCATCTCTCAGGTCAATATGGCTCCAGGGCTCCCTAGGCTCAGGAGTACCAAGGTCGCTGGAGTGAATGGGAAACGGCGACGTGGGTATCTTGATCTCAGTGTCCGACATGTGCCAGGCCGAGTCAATTGCAGAGCTGTTGTAAAAACCTCCACCTTGCTTGTTGCGCTCCGCTTGTTTTTGCTTTTCCTCTCGCAGTCTGCTGGCAAACTTTGCGGTATCAAAGGCAGGCGTTGATGGAGTGCGATCATCTCGGAATCGGAGAAGCTGGCCAGACGAGGGCTGACTGATTCCAATGACCTCACGAAGAGCAGACGAGACCTCTTTCTCCGCAGGGCTGCAGAGGAAGCTGTACTTTCTGTCTGTTTCAAACCCATCGTAAATGTCGGAGATCGAGTGGTCAGAGTTGGTCTTGAAGCCTCCAAAGGGATCGCCAGGATCACTGTTTCCTCCAGTGCTGAAATCTCTCTTCCTGCCCTTGGCCAGAGAGTGGAGTTTATCATCTTGATCATCAGCTCTTTCGGCAACCTGACTGAAAGTCTGGCATTTGTCTTTGCCCTCACGGCGCGGTGGCAGAGGGGGTAGAACGGGGGAAGGAGCGCAGGCATCACCCAGAGGCTGCATACTCCCACGACCAGAAAGAGGTGTAACCTCAAACCCCGATTGTGCAGCATTTCTCTTTTTGATGTCATCGTAATGAGGTGATGGTCCTTCCTCTGTCTTTGTGGCTTGCGGGAAATTCTCCTTGCCCGAAGCCATGCTTTCCTTGGCGGGTGTGGTTTGAGGCTGGGTCTTCTCCTCAAGAACCCCGTGGGGACTGTTCATTGTCCTTTCGTAAAGAAGCGACGAAAACATGAATTCTTCATCAAGGACATCTTCGAGGAAAACCGGATACCGAGCGATCGTGCGGTGTGCCTCGTCGTATGAGTCGAACAGGGCGCGGTTAGGAGTTAGGGACCGCTTGGGTGCAGGCTACGCCGCGTTGTCAACAGCTGTTCATGAGAGCTCATCGGAACGATCTGTACCTTCTGCGTTTTGTTCTCCTTGTCACCTTCCATGGTGATATAGTGTTATTCTTGACAGCAACAGACGATAGTGATGCCGTGTGTGTGCTTGTGTGAACGCGTTGTCGGGCACTCTGAATCAAAGGATAATGGGCGATAGAAGGGCAGGCCACGTCAAGAGACAAGGCCCATTCTTCACTTTGGCTGCAGTCCTTCCTTGATGGAGAATGAAAACAGAAATTACGAGGTGAGTTGCAAAAGGGCAGCCAGGCTGGCATTGCTTCTTATGTTACCAATGCGCTCTGCCTGCTGAGGAAGTCACGGCAACTCTCATATTGGGATGCGCATTCACCGTTGACTGGTGGAGAACTCGGTTTGTTGCATGATAATCCAGACCACAGATTGGGATCTATCATGGCAGGCTGGCTAGGGGTGTAAATTGTACAGTGCCGACTTCGAGTTTGTGATATTGCCGCGCTTTGCTGGTTTCGATTGTAGATGAAGGATTCCAGAGTAGGGCGTGTTAGTCATTGACAACAACACAGCAGCGGGCGAAGCTCAGAAGACATCGACGAGCAGAATATCAACGAGCTCAGGCAAGAATTCGGAAGAACAGAATCTCAGTGGATGCCGTATGGCTTGCAAGTGCTATCGTCGCTTCGATAATTTGGCTATGAAGAGATTGAGTTGCTTCTCGTTGAGGAGGAGTTGGTTATCCGGCGGCTGGTAAACCTTTGCAACTGACATATCGAAACATCATCAGGCTGTTTTTGGTAAGTTCTTGAATACAAACGAGCCACTGCCGCTGACCACTCCGTGAACCCCTTCACCGACGTACCTTATTACCTTGCGTGTTTAGATACTGTATATGACAAGTGCCAGCAATATAGAGAGTCTAGCATGCCGATAGAGTCAAGAGATCCTTCATGAATGACTGACATCCAGAAGACAGTCTGGCCTCTTATGATACAGGTCAGTGTAAAAACCCGCTGTTGAAAACGAGGCCATTGGCTCCCAATGGGAATGACGTTGACCGCTCAAGGAGTGACGGCGCACTGTCGACTGCGCGAAACAACCTCCATCAAGTGTAAGGATCGTGTGAAGGCGATGGCTTGAGGGAATGACATGGAAGACAACAGGAGCCAGACTTCATAATACAAATAGGTACGTGACGAGAGAAGTACGTCATCCATCAGTTCCTACGATGATTTGTGGAAGGTCCGATTGACGCCCTCTTGCTGCGCCTCCCGAACATTTCTGGGTGGTTTCACAAACAGTCTAAAATGCAAGAACCGTTTTCAAGATGTTGGAACCAGCTATCCGGGGGACTGTCAAGCTTCGGGGAGTATATTTACTCACACGTGACCCGTTTTCGAGGATCGTCACAACGTCACCACATATCCAGGCGTGCTGCTGGCAGTCGGCAATCTTCGAGTAATAGTTGGAACCACAGAAGAGCCCGGATTTTGGAGTGTGAGTTTGCAAATAAGTAAACAAATGTTGGAGGTTTGTCGAGAGCATGAAAGAACGGAGCAGATGCAAGTCTGCCCACGCCTGTTCGTGGGGTGACGTTGAATGACAGAGGCACGGCCCACCTTCCGGGGAGCCTCTGGTCTGAGGGGCGTGACCTCGCCTGTTCGATGTCACCTCATTTACCCAAGGTACCTGTAGCCAAAGACTTCAGAAGGGGCTCCATGATAGGTACTTGCTCAACATGACTGCAGTGACTTGTGATCAGCTGCAGCAACCCCACGCTTGTGGACAGCCCATTCGGCCTGCGAGACAATGTCGTGGGGTTTGAACGGCCAAGGAACTGAAACGCCTGGCCGTCTGTGAGGACGAAGGAGGGGGGGGGATTAATCCATGGCCAGTTAGCAGGGTGGTGAGAGGTGGTCAGAAGTGGTCAGAAGTGGCCAGGTACCAGCAGGGCGGTAGTCGCGATGCACCGTCAACACTCCACTAGACGGCAGCTGTCACCACACGTGCCTGAAGCGCACCTGTCTGGCTGGCTGACGGGTACACACGGGCTTCGCAGCGGATTCCCACCATTCACCATGCCCCTTCCCCTTCGACAGGGCCCCCCTCCATGCTCGTCCATCTCATCATTCGCAATTTTTTTTCTCGTCCACCCATCCTGCTCTCCATCTTGCGCTCTTTCCCCTCCGATCAGCTTAGCAGTACGCCGTGCCCTGTCCTGCCCGCATTGTCTCTCTGTCTGCCTGCCTGCCTGTCTGCCCGCTTGCCCGCCCGCTTGCCCGCGCCTGCCTGCTTGCCAGTCACATCCCAATCGCGGCTTTAGCTTCAGGCAAGGCTAGTCCTCGTTGCTCGGAGTGAAGTACCTCACGATGTACCGGCCATGCCGCCCCGCGTCGGGGGCAGGGAGGGACACGGGTGCAGAACGAGCATGAAGCTCATTCAGGTTGAAGTATATAAAGTCAACTCTAATTGCCCCTTGGTATCCGGCCGTGGACACGAGGGCGTCTGCAACCTCCCTCGACTCAAGCAAGACCCAACCAAGTCCACCAAAAGCGATAATTTCGGTTCCTTTCCGTTCCTCCCATTCCGACTGTTGGTTCCATCTACGCCGTCGGCCTAGCTGCGTGCATTCGTCCGCTTGGACTCGACCCCCCCTTCGACTCGACTCTCGTATTGTGGTGTCGACTCGAACTGACCCGACTTGGCCCTGGCGTTTCCGTTGCGTCCACTTTTGATCCCCTTGTCCATTTTCGTCTCGAGCCCTGTTGCTGAGTATCTATCTGCCCGCCATTGAGGTGTCGCGTGGTCATATTCCTTGACTTTTTCTCCTCACCCTTTTTCGATCCACGTCGGTCTGGCCTCATCAGATCCATTCAGTTGGCACCCCGTCGAAAACGTTAGCCGCTGTGGTCCGCCCCTCTGCGCCGCCCTCGCAACTTTCTGCCCCTTACCCACCTCGACGTACCTGGCCTGTCTCGCCTTGCATCACTTCACCGAGCCACGACACGGAGATCTCGCTACCTACCTCGCTATTCCAGGTACATACTTACCTAGGTACCTACCTGCCTACCCGACCTTGCCTTTCTGAGGTAGATACTGGGACCAGTAGCGTACCTGACCTACACGTACTACCGCGCCTGCCGGCCAGCTCCGCCAGCCTGACCTGACTTGACAAGACGCTTACTACTCTCATCGCCTTGCTCGCTCGCTCGTCCCCATTGCCCCCCCTCCCCCCAAAAGCCCCGACTTTTTTTGCGCGCGTCCAGTACCAGCCGCAGCTCCCCTTGCCATTGCGGCGGCCAACCCCCCCTGTTCAACGTCGAACGTTCTCTCTTTCAACACTTCTCCAGACCCAACCCTGAGCTCTGCGCCTTCGGGGCTTCGGATTCCAGACACAAACTGGCCATATCAGAACAGACATCGAGACCGGACCTTGCGATCCCCCACCTCCCTCCCGCCCTTGGGTGTTCTCTCTCGGTCGTTACCAACACGCCCCGAAATACACTTCCCCCCCCCTCCTGCACTGGAGAACGCAGAGACGGCGCCCTGGATCCACAGCGGTTCCTGCCCTGCCTGTCCGACGAAGCTTCACTGCAGCCACTTGAGGTTCCGGCTTCCCATCTCTCAGTCACAGATCTGACCCCGTCTCAGACCGCGATCTTTCTCGGGCTGCCCTGACTCTGAAGAAAACCCGCGGTGCCCGCCTCCTCCCCCCCATTCACCTCTGTTTCCCCCCCGCCTTCCCCTTCTCTCCGCTGGATCATCACCCGTCTGCTCTGCATCACAGCTCTGGGGCCCTAAATTCCCTGAGCATTGTGCACTCTTCCAATCCCCCCAAGCAACCAGCCAACCCCCGGCGGCTACCGGCCTTTTCTGACATCGCAGAAAACCACCCAATCAACCCGAACCAGACCTCAATTCTCGAATTCGGACGCAACCATGTCGCTGAAAAGTCATTGAGTCGCGCATTCAACCCCGACGCTTCGTGCAGAGAGTTCAATCCTCTGCCCAGATTCCCTTTGCCCCCCCTCATAAAAGCGCTGTCTGGTCTGCCTTTCTCCCAGAACAGACCGTCTCGACTCTACCCCGCCAAAGCCCCCAAGGCAGAGTGATTCAGACACCGTACAGCACAGCTCGCTGCCAGCCAAACACGCCCCTCCCCCCACCCCACCTTGAGCTGTCGCCTGCCCGCCCCAACACCCTCAAATCTATCAGTTCAGACACATTCGCCCACCATGTCTTCCTCCAAGGAAAAATCGATGGAGTCGCGTGTAGGAAGGAGTAAACAGCGTAAGTGTGCGAGGCATTTTTGTCTTTCCAACAAAGACTGCCCGCCGCCCCCCTCCCCCTCCCACCGAAGAGCCAGAAAAAATTGCTGGAGCCGACTCGGAGCTCGGGGGAACCCCACTAACACGCACACCCCTAGGCTACAACTCGAAGAATGAGCGCCTCGTGGCCGGCGTCGTGCCGCTGACCGAGGACAAACGCTTTGTGCTGCTCATCCAATCGACGCGTCGGAAAGGCTGGGTGCTGCCCAAGGGCGGCTGGGAGACGGACGAGGAGTGCACCGAGGCGGCCGAACGTGAGGCCTGGGAGGAGGCCGGCATCTTTGTTCAGATCGACTATGACCTCGGCGACATACCCGACACGCGCGCCCCGAAACACGGCAGCAGCAAGGACAAGTGCTTATACCGGTTCTACGAGGCCACAGTCACGCGGCAGGAAGACAAGTGGCCCGAGGCGCACAAGAGAGAGCGGCAGTGGATGACGTATGCGCAAGCCAAGGATGCCCTGGCGCTGCGGCCGGAGCTCCTTGAGGCTCTCAACAGGTGTACCATGACGCGTTGAGCCCTGTTGAGCGCGGCTGTTCTGAGCCACGGCACGCTGTTGCAATGGGGATGACCTTTGGGCTCTTACCCCCTTTTTTCTTGGGGCAAGACGGGCTGCATGGTTGCGTTACATCAGCGCACACTCTCTAGGCGACATTGCGTTTGGAGAGGAACACGGCTGCCGATCATCACGACCATGGCTCTCGCCAGACCAACACCAAGAAGGAAGCCGCACGGGGCGCTTTGCGCTGAGACGCGCCAGACGGACCAATCTTTGTTGTGTCAAGGTCCTCCTCTGACGGTCTTGCCGGCCGTGGCCTTTTTGCTTTACAACCCTGCGTGCGATATTAACCACTCCCAAAAGACATGAATCAAACATCAATGCATCTGGATCAAGGCGTTTTAGGGCTGGCGGGGCATAGAAACCACGGAAGGGGGCTGCAGTGTGGTTGTAGTCTTATTTTCATCAGGCTGCTAGCATGGCCTCCTCGTTCTACAGGGAGGTACAGTTTTTGGGGATATGCATGCTCGGCGAGAAGAGAAGGTCGAAGCATGACGCTGCGTCATGCTCGGGCCGTGAGCGTCATCCCACAGGGAGGATAGAAAGGTGCGAAAAGCACATTAGCACCGAATACGACCCAGCAACGTAGTTATTTTTGCTGTGCATGCCGCATGCCCATGTCTCGGCCAAGTTCTGGGGTTATTTCTGGCCATGTCTCTATAGGGGACATTGGGCAGCGGACAGCGGGCAATGGACAGTGGACGGCGAATGCGGGCTGGATACAGGTACTCGCTGCTGTGAGGAAAGCAGCATTGACATCCCCCTCGCGTGATGACCCCGCAGTGTGGCACTGGAGATCGTCAGTGGAGGGCACAGCCACTCTCTATAGACTCACAGTAGAAATTGTAACAAAATATGGTAGGTTAGATGGTTGAACAAGATGAGAAAAGGTGCTGTCAAGTACTATCATTGCTGCTCCAGTATTGTGATACCAGTCAAGATGCAGTGAAAACGCATCAGGTGTTTATTGGCTTGCCTGGCTTGCCTGGTCAAATGTACGCAGGGCATCTGAACGCAAGCATGCACTTGGACTCGGGCGAGGCGGTGCACGGGTTGGCAACAAGCATTTTCCGGCAGCGCATCGAGAGCCCCACCGTGGACTCCACCACGAGCCGCCCAGCAGGAGCACGAGCACGAAGCACGACCACCAGCACCAGCACCGACGACCCACCTGATTCTGGTGACGGCTTCACTTCAGTTGCTCAACCATTCGCCATCGCCCACGCAACCGCTGCTCCCCTCGACCCGACACCGCGTACCATACCATCAAGCATGTGCTGCCCAGCATTGTAGGAAACAGCACGCCGGACACACTCACCCAGCCATCAAAACCCATCATCGATGGCCTGCCAAACGACGACGCCATCCCAACCCACCAGCACAACGACCGCATAACCCAATGCGCACGACCAACTCCCGGAACCCCTTCACGACTACGACAACCAACGAAAGAAAGCAGAAATCATCGCAAATACGCACATAGACGCACAGCATGGAGCACCTCTCCATAGAAGACCCCTCCCACCAGGGCCAGCCGGTCCTGGGCGGCGGCGTCCCTCCCCCGCAACAGCAGCAGCAGCTGCCGCCGCAGATGTTCACGACGGCCGCCCAGCTCCTCGACCTCACCGACAGTAAGGGCGCCTCTTTGAACGTTGGCGAGAGACGGGGTTTGAGAACGAGAGGATGGGACTGACGCGCTTTGTGTTTGGCAGAAAAGCTCATGGTCGCTCTGCGCGACGGCCGCAAGCTCATTGGGGTTCTGCGCAGCTGGGATCAATTCGGTAGGCCTCTCTCCTCTCCGCCTCCCGGTCTTCGCATTCCCGCACTATGCACACCATGAAGCCGACGAGATACCCCTCGTCTGCTAGAGAACGGACCTGACAGACCACACAACACAGCAAACCTCGTTCTCCAGAACACAGTCGAGCGCGTCTTCGCCCCGCACCCGGCGCCGCCGCGCAGCGATGCCGCGGCGGCGACGACGCCGTCACCAGACCAGCAGCCGCGCGGCGGCCTCTACGCCGACATTAAGCGCGGCGTCTTCCTCGTGCGCGGCGAGAACGTGCTGCTCCTCGGCGAGATTGACCTCGACAAGGACGACGACCCGCCGCCGGGCTACGAGCTCGGCGAGCCCGAGGTCGTGCACCGCCTTGCCGAGGCGCGCAAGGACGCCGACAAGGGCAAGGAGAAGGCGAGGCTGCGCAAGCTGGCGCGGAGCGGCTTTGAGGGCGAGAACATGGGCGAGATACTCCTGTGAGCTGCCTGGCCAGCGAGGAAGCGATACTGGGGCAGGAGACAGTAGGACGGGAGGCAGAGGAGAAGGAGCAATAGCAGTAGCACGGAGAGGACAGAAGCTTCACATGATCATGTTCATCAAAGGTCGTTTCATGCCTGCCCTGCTTTTCTTGGGGTGGGTGCGACGACGGGGGCTGGTTGGGTTGGGCGGCAGAATATTGTGAAATGCCGTCCGCCCTGAGCCTGGCTGCTTTTTTCTGGGAGTGCCAGTCGAAAATAAAAGTATTCAGCCTCTGTTCCCTCCAAGCTCGTCGGGATTTGATATTGGACGAAACTCGAGATAAAGACATGCCCACATTCATGTGAGGGTGAGCGGCTTGCGGCATATATCAATCACAGGTTCAGGAGAGCTGCCCAGCTCTGAGCGAATCATGCCTCCTGGCATTCAGCATGTATTGACCACGAACCGACGACGAACAGAACATTCGTCACCACCAAAGCATCTAGCACAGCATAGACCCAACTACATCCCCGGCACGAACCCCTCTACAGCCACCGTCCACGCGTCGGGGAAATGCGCGCCCTCGCTGCCGTCCCAGCCCCCCGCCATCATGGCCACCGCCATGAGCAGGCTTCCCGCGCTGGGAAAGTACGGCGTCGGCACGCGCGTGCCGCCCACGGGATAGCCGGCATCGTCAAACCGAAACGTCGGGTGCAGGAGGTACTCGACCGCCCGGGCGGCGTCCCCGAGCCGCAGTGCATTCATCGCCAGCATGGGAAAGTCCCAGCCGAACGAGGCGTCGAGGTCCCAGAGCCTCCAGATGCGCGCCGCCGTCTCGGCGAGCAGAGTCTCGTTGAGCGGCGCGCCCGA